TCTGTCCTTTCAAAAACTACCCTCCGCCTGGTCTCTTAACTTGCCTTGATTACAAGGGTTGTTGCTCTTGAATTTTTTGCAGGCTAGGTAGACATCTAATCAGCATTTGTGGACCTATGTTTTAACAAAAGGATAATGGAAATGCCAAGTGTTCTTACCTTCTAAAGTGAAGCCCTGCTTCTTTTACTTAAATTCAATGTCATTTCCACCTTTTAAGTAAGCCCCTTATGCTTTATAGGGTGCTGTTACTCTACCCTGAATATTGTCATATAATGCCTTTTAGCTAATTGATGTTTGTATATTTATCAGGAGGAGTGAAATGATGTTACCTGTTTTGCAGAAACCCAACTTGAAAGCATAGGAGTGTATTGTATACTTTATTACAAATTGAAGGAGCTGTTTGTTAAAAGCCAGTGAGTTGGCATGAAGAATTTAGCATTATGTTGCTGCAGCTTATGTTCAACTTCAGAAGAAACACATTTTCGAAAATGGACTTTTGCAGCCTGTGTGACTCCTGTGCTGGCGCTCTTGTTTCTGAGGACTCTTTCTATTTTCTTCGGCTCTGTAAAAGAGACACAGCAGTACAGATAGGTTTAGTCACAAAATTTGCATGTTCATAACAACTCTTTACCCAGCAATGTTGGACATCTAGATTTTCATGATATTTGCACTTCATCTATTTTTATTTGAAGAAAACCCAACAAACATCTGAATACCAATTACGATAACATTGTAAACTGCAAGAGCCACAATTCTTTGTATCTGCATATATAAATCTGTAGCAGGGCTATATTTGACAAAGAGATCTCGGAGTAAGTAAAGTCTGACTGAGTATTTGAAGTAGAAGGTGCTTTGTGACTTTGCAAATAAGTTCTGAGTATATCCTCATCTTAGGATAAGTAGAATAGAACAGGGCAGAAGTATGTCTGCAGGAGAAGTAGAGTAGGAAGGTTAGTGTGTTAAGCCAAAAGTAGGTGAGTAGAAGACTAAATAGTGAAGGCCTTTGAAAAGGAGGACAAGCAGATTGAATGTCATGCAGACAGAGGAATAGCACTGGAGGTGGTAGAAAGTACAGAAAGCCAGGAACGGTTGGGCTTTTAATATCAGCATTGCAGTCCATTAACGCTAGTTGTACTCCTTTATATGTACAAATTGAGCAAGAACATGCATCTGATTCGTGAGGGGTTATTTTACTGTTTAATTGAAAGAATTTTGTTAATGGGAAATGATTTTTTGCTGGGTAATATTTTGCTCAGTTCTAGAGTTGATGGAGGTGTGGGAATTGCATGCAATGCTTTTCCTGAATGTGAATGTTGGTTTCATTGTTGCTGCATTACCAACATATCCACTTTAGAGAAGAAATCAGTAGATAGGTAATTAATAATAAGGGATGTCAGGATTCTTTGCAAGGAATTCTTTGTTCCGCTCCTCTTTAGCAGTGAGAGAAAAGGCAGTGCTCCATTGTGGTCTTTGTCTTCACTCTGTAGGATCTTCTGTAATTATTTCCATTGTATCATCATGGCAATGTATGGCACACTTTCCCTGATGAGCAGCAGTAAGTAAGGAAGGATGAGATGACATTATGGAAAACAAGCATGTGAATATAGAGATCATTCCACTCAGTGCTAAAAGGATGGGTTTACACTGCCTAGGGAGAGCTGCTCTATGGATTACAATCTCCTTTCTAAGCAGATTTGTCAGACATGGGATCTGGAGCCTGCCTTCCTTCCTTCTTCATGTATAACCTCAGTAAGTTTCCATTAGTTACAGATGGTGGAATTTCTTATCCCTTCACCCTCATTCTTTGGAGGTCCTGATGGGGCCTCATGATTGAGTAATTTCTGCCTGAGGGTGGGGCTGAAGCATTAATGCATATTCTTTGTAGGTGCTCAGGAATGGAGCAGGATTCAGTTATATTGCCTGAGGGAGCTTCTGAAGGCTACTCATAGGTCATGGGGCTTATATATACACCATGATGAGTAATGGTGGTGGAAGCTGAGGAAAAATTAACTCTCCACTAAATGTGCTTACAGGATAGTACCTTCGTCATAAGAATGCAGCCTTGTGGAACACCTTGGCAAGAGTGCTTGGGTACTGTAGGAGTGCGATGGCTTAAATGAAAACATATGTGCTACCAGCCTCCGTATCTCCCCAGTAACCTCTGGTCTGATGTTTGTGATGCTATTGACATCACTGTTGTTATTGAAAACTATATACTTTAAAAATTATTGGCATTTTAATCTTACACTTGAGTAGTGGTAGTTCTAAACTGTAACTGTAGGTGAGTGCCATTTCCTTCCTGAGCTCATTCTCCCCAAACACAGCATTGCTTTGCTTCTGTAGGATGCCTTGCTTTTAGCACATCGTTCACTACAAGGCATGAAGGAGAGAAATAACGAGAAGCTAATGGCATACTGTCACACGGTATCCCCTTCCAGCAGATGAAAAGTAGCCAAAACATTACAGAGGAAGAGTAATTTCTGTTCTTATTTTCAGTTTGGCAAAGTAATTCCAGACGTCATTATGTTAATCTTTCTTTGGTGTATGGAATGATTTGTTTTACTTAGGTATGTTTTATTTTACTTGATGTATGTTTTGGCTGGTAAACAGAACACTGGTCACTAGTTTATCTGATTAATGCCCTGAGCTAGTTTAGATTTAAGGCAAATTAAGGTTGTACTGTCCTTTATTATACATCTATATTTATTGTAAATAAAGAATAACAGTCCTAAATTTAATGGTTTTACATAAGTCTGAGACAAAGAGGACATTCAGTACCTCAGCCTTTTCCATGTCCTGTGCTCCATTCAGCAGCAGGTCCACATTATCCCTAGTCTGTGTTTTGTCACCTACGTAGATATAAAAACCTTCTTTGTTGCCTTTGACATTCATTGTTAGATTCAATTCCAGGTGGACTTAGGCTTTCCTAACCATGTCTTTGTGTGCTCAGACAGTGTCTTCATCTCAGGTTACCTGTCTCTTCTTACACCTTCTGCATTCTCCCCTTTTATGTTTGAGTTTTGCTAAGAGCTGCTTGTTCATCCATGTGGGCATTTTTTTCTTGGTCATTTGGATGGACTGCTCTTGAGCTTGAACGAGGTGATCTTTGAATAACAACCAATTTTCTTGGATCCTCTTCCCTCCAGGGCCTTATTTGATGGTGCTGTTTCAAGCTGATCCCTGAAGAGGCCAAAATATGATCTTCTGAAGTCCAGGGTTGCGATCTTGCTTTTTACCTTGCTTCTCGGGATCCTGAACTCTACCATCTCATGGTCACTGCAGCCAAGGCTGTGCCTGACCCCAACAAGCTCTTCCATGTTGATAGGTATGAGGCCCAGCAGAGCAACTCATTGATCACCTCCTCTGTCTTTTGGGCCGGCAAGTTGTTATTGAGGCTCCCTGAGAACTTGCTGGATTGACTATGCCCTGCTGTGTTTTTCCTCCAGCAGATATTTCAGTGGTTGAATTCCCTCATCAGGATCAAGGTCTGCTAATGGGAGGCTGCTTTGAGCTGTCTGTAGAGTGCTTCATCCACCTGTTCTTCATGGTCACGGGGTAAAATAAACTCCTGTATGCATAGTAGAAGTCAGCAGACAGCACTGTCACCTTTTTTTCTCAGAATGCTTGAAAGTTTCCCCTTTTTTATTCTGTGATATGAACTGGAGGTTCAGGGGATTTGAGGGAAAGCCTAGAAACTTGAGCTGATGTCTTGTAAGGAAAAATATTTCTGTGACATTATCAATTAACAATGCAGAACTAGAGTATGAAGAAAGGTAAAAAGTTCAGCTCCAATTTTTAAAGGGTTACATTTCATTGGGGTGTTTTTGTTTGTGTGGGTTTTGGTTTTTTTTACCCCCAAGAGTCTGGACACAAGTTGTCGTAACAGCCTGTAATATATACTTGTGTTTACCAGAGCAGTTAATGCTATAATGGCAAACACTGGGTAGAACTGTTCTTTTCTGCTCAGAGAGATATTGCCTGTGATTTAAAAAAGGATCACAGCTGCACAAGATGTGCACAAGTCTGTGTGGTGCTTCTGAATCTTCTCTGTATAGTCATCCATCAGGGACAGCTTTTGGCCCAGGCAACTGCAGGAATGTTAGCATGAGAACAGCAGTGCAATATGGTTGCAGCAGAGTGGGACACCTGCTTGAGACCTGAGCCTGCTGATTGACTTTGCTTGTGCCAAATCTGCCCCATAGCAGACACAGATAAGCCCCATCTCTTTACACTGAGGTACTTACTGAAATGTAGCACTTGCCCTGTTGATGAGCTGTTTGGTTACAACAGTGATGGGGTTTGTTGACAGAGGTCTTCAGGGTTTTTTTGCCCACCAGTTGCTTTAACAGTTACTATGCTTTTAAACAACCTTCACCTACTTTCGTGAGTTAAAATAGCTTATGCACTTAAGTAGATCATGCTGTATTACCTGGAATGCAGCACTCTTACATGTTGTTTATGATCTGATTATGTGCTGAAGAAGCTGGTTTCAGATAATCAACACTTAGCTCTCTGTGAGGCTGCACAGAGCTGATCTTGTGAGTGAACTTCACATTATTCATCTATAAAAGGAACGGCAGAGGCCCAGTGAACTCCAAAGCAGTTGTTGTGAGGCTTAGCTTCATGACTGACGATTCTTACACAACTAGTTTTTACATTAGACTCTAAGATAAACCTCACTAAGTATCTCCTTTTTAATACCACCATTTCCCTTTCTTAAAAGAATTCAGGGAAGATAATTTTAGAGATAGAGGTGACCTTTTTCTACGGTATTTTACTGCTTGATGAGTCTAGGGAGATGGAAACATGGTTCTTCTTTTGCAAAAGCATAAAACATTTTGCATAAAACACTGAAACAAAATGAAGTAACTGGACTAATGTCAGTGCAAATGAGAGCTTAATTTGGCGTTTTCTGCCTGCTGTTCTTGTGCACCTTTGGTTTTTTTGATTGAATCTGCGTAATTGTAAACTGCTAACACTGCTTTTTGTTTTAGGACCCTCCTGTCTCTCAAATGCTAACTGAAGAAATTAATGTAAAAAAGGAAGGAAAAAAAATCCAACAGAACAAGTGAAAAACCAAATACATATTTGTGCGCATACACAGTCCTGTTTATAAAGTAGGTCAAAGTTTAGTGGTGTCAATATTAATAGACTGTCCTGTATAATGCAAACAACCAACTGTGCTTTGGATACTCTCGCAATTAATCAAGCTTTATGGGCATCTTGAGCCTTCAGCATAAGTGTGATGACACCAACTCTATCCTGGGATCTCTTCAAAGGATTTATGTATGCGAGATCTTTTCTCAGGGAACTGTAGTGACCCTGTCCCTAGCAGCATTATTCCAAGCCTTTATGGGGCTCTTGCCAGACCCTGGAGTGACTCTGTGACATCCTGCATCACCTAAGTGCTCCTGTGTTCACCCTCCTTTTTTAAGAAATATTGTGTGATTTCTCTCAACTGCATGTGTGATTGCCACATGTAATACCAGTGCTGTTTCCTGACTTAAAGTCATAGATAATGTCTGATCAAGGAAGATAAAATTAATCATAGGGTTTGTAAAAAAAGCTACCTATTCCCACTCTTACAGCAGCAACATAAAAATTGTATTTTCTTGTGATTTCTCTTCTTACTGTGATTTCAGCAGTATAATAATCTGTATTAGGTGACATTGTCCATTTTCAACTTACATAATACTGAAAGTACCTGTGTGTTACTTGTGATGTCACATGCACAGGGTCAGAGTTCATGGCAAGGTTATTTATTGTTCCTTTTCTTTTTCTGCTGGGGATTGTAAGAGAAATACAAAACAGTGGAACTTAGGCTAAAACATAATTAGTGGATTTGTGTTGGCTTCTCATCTGGCTACTAACCATTCCTGTTTTCTTACAAGGTCTAATGCTTGTGGCCTATGATGTCCAGCACAGATAATTGGAACCACAAATATCTAAGTATCTTCCAAAGTTGTAGTAGAGTTTTCTTCAAAAACCTACTGATCACGTAGAGAAGAGCTTCTTTACATATCTCCAAAGAGAACCTCACTCTTAACATCTTAACCTAGTCTGAGTCAGCTTTTGGTGGCCTTGTACTCTCTGGTTGCTGATTTGCACATTCCCACCTTTTCCCTTATCCTTTACACTGTGGTATCATTCAGTGAGGTATTTCAGAGCACTTTAAATATTCCAAAGGAATTTATCAGAAAAGTGATAAAATTTCAATGAAATCAGCATCCTAACACAATCTCAGTTTCATGTGCACCTTTGTGAGAGTGAGGGGGAAGCAAGGCCATGCCATCTAGAACAGAGGGAAAGTTGGGCTTTGAGTCCCTGATTCATTCAGTCTTAAACTGCAGTGGGGTTTTAGTTCAAGTGTAATATCTGATGGTACACTGAGGAGATCTAGTAGCTGTCCTCTATCAAAAGAGACAGTTTTGTTATTCTTTTCTCTTGTGATCCATCCCTTGGTGTACATTCCTGGTGTTTTCCCTTGTGCTGGCATTGATGTTTGTGTAGCTCTGTGTTGAACTTCTTTAGGGCCTAAGGTAAAAAAAAATTAATTTCATTCTGCTCCAAAACCAACTTGATGCACCTTGATAGATCACCTTAATTTTTTAAATGTTTTAAATGTTTTGTCAAATTTCAAGCTGACATGAATTTGGAAACTAAAGTGAATGTGAAGTAATTCAGGGCAAATTTTTCCTGGTGCTTTCATAGGTAGTGGAAGTAGAGTGCACCAGGAATACTCCAAAGAGATTGGGCTGTGCAGCAGGAAACCGGATGTTCTTTCTTTATATAATGACGTAGATCTTAAAAGTAGAACTATGAGGATAGAGGTGCACAGGGAGGCTTTCAGGCTTCCTTGACTTCTGTACACGGAGCCACCTAGACAATATGTCACCAGCTTTGAAGTCTGTTTTGCTAGCATTGTGTGAGAAGAAATAAAAGGTGGAGTAGCCTTACTCTAAAAAGACATAAATATAAAGGAAACAATCTGTGTGCTAGTAAATATCTTCTTACAGTCTTGTGTCTGCTGCTGTTATGATCATGGGAATGGAAGGCTTTTAGTGCATTTCCATTATTTGCACCTATTTATCTTAAAATTACTAGTGAGCCTGCCCCTGAGGGGTTGAATGTGTTGTGAAATACTGTCATATGACAATTTCTCAATTTTTGCAGCTTCAACCTCACTATGGCACTAACTTTCTGGTACTCATCCCGTGCTTTATTTATTTCATTTTTGCAGCTGGAATAATTTCTCTCTGCTCTGCTGAGCAATACCCTCACCAAAAAATAAGGTAACCTTCTGTGACCAACTTCTTAAACTCTGCTAGAGTTTGGTGGTGCTGTATTCTTCAAATTTGATTGAAAAACTCAAAAGTAACTTAATGTGAAAGATGAATGTGAAAATTTGAGAATTTGGTGAATCCACACAGTTCTCAAAGTAGAATGTGGGCCTTCAATTGAGAGACTATGTCTATCCATGCATTACCCAAGCACTAATATTATATTCCTCAGCTTCACAAGTTGTTACAAATACAGAATAGGTAACAGCAAAGTTATTCAGCTCACCTTACTGTAGTGTAGTAAAGTCTGAGCTCTGCAAACATGCTGGGTCCCCTCATCGCCTTCCAGCCTAGTCAGTCCTACAGCTTCAAACAAAGGCACAGCCAGCAGAAAGTCCTGGGCAAATAAAACAAAAACCCAAACCAAAACAAAAGAATTGTGCCCGTGGAAAAGTTCCGAGTGAGAAACGGGATGAGTGCAGAAACCCAGTTGCATATACAGAATTAAGAGTTCAGAAAGTACTATTTTAATATAGCAACATTAAATATAAGCTGAATGCACAGTACTATAAAGAAAAATAATTAATGATAAAGGAATTCCAATGTATTTGCTGGAGTTACCCACTGCTGTGGCTTGCTGAAGTTAATTTAAGACTAGAGGACATTTGGAAATTTGAATGTGCCTCACCGATCTCCAAAGACAAGTTAGAAAGTCTAATCTAGATTCAATACATGGTTTTATTTTTGTTTAATTAATTAATGCTCCTAAGTAATATGAAGTATGCACAGTTGTGATATTTTTAAATTAATTTTGTGGATACATGGTGCAGTGATAGTTGTATGCAATTTAAAGCCTGAAAGCATATATTAGAGAGGAACAAAAAAAACCAAATCCAAAACCCTGCTTTGAAAAAGAACAGTTTTTATTAAAAAATCAGTCTTACCTAATAAAGTGCTAGTTTCTGTGGCTTACAGTACAATAGCATGTTGAGGACAGTGTAATTAAGTTAATGAAATGTAGGAAGATAGCTTTTTTCAAATACAGTAATAAACAAAGGCTGTATCATGTAGGTTAGTACAATCTCTGCCGACAGATTCAAGAGCAGTTCTGGCACAAATCAGATTGTAGGACTGGGTCCTACATCAACCATCTTTCCTCAAGACTCATAGAACCAAAACCTTTCTATTTTCTGTGCTTCACAAGTTTATTTTGAAAGCTTGTGCTCACTCGGAACTACTTAAACGTGAACATTCTTGTTCAGGCAGTTGTATTTTCTTCTTTTCAGGTTCTAAAATGGCCCTAAAGGATAAATGCAAGCCATCCACGTTAAAATATGAAGATGCCAATTCAAAAATTATGACACTGAGAAAATCACCTTCCTGAAATAGCTCCTTATTTTTCCATGCAGGCAGCTTTTCAGTTAGAGCTTTGCCTTCCCTGGGCTGACATTTATACTGTGCCCCCAAGGTCATCAGATGGGGGCTCTTTGACTGTAGTGGAGCAGAAAACCAAAGCAGAAGAGGCACATATAACCGCTGTATTTACTTTAGCAGTACAATCTCCTATCCTGTTATATGTCAAAGTGAATAATGGTAGAAAATCATTGTCGTAAAATCAGTGCTTTCCCTTGCCCGGTGTAGGCACAGTTGTTCTGTATTTCTGTTTTTTTTACCCTCTCTGTGGACATCAAGTTATGGGAAGGGCTGTGGGAAATATTTTCCTAAGGAATGATTTGTGTGACTGGACAAATACAGGCTTAAATGAATATGTGTGTCTGCCCTAAAGGTTGATCATCGAGGATCTGATACAAGGATTGAGTGGATAATGCCAGTTTATACTTGGTTTGTCCTTTGCTATGAAATTGCTAGTTGATGTGGACTTCTTTCTTTCCCACCCTCCCCCCACTTTTCCCAGAGTGACAGTAATTGAGATGTATTGCTGGTCATAAAAACAGCCTCACTGCTGGTAATTCCTCATGCATTGGGTTAAGTTTGATCCTTCTGCATAACTGATTGAATTCTTTTCATTTGCAAGCTTCTGGTTTCAACCTTTAAAAGAACCTCACAACACTAACTTCATACATGCAAAATGTGCTTAAAAAATTGCGTTCTTTGTAATCCTGATGTATTGTGGCTTGTTGAGTTGCTTTGTTGGTTATATGCTGTGCTACCAATCATAACATAAAGAACTTGCACAGAAAGAGAGAATAAAAGTTGAATTTTATAACTCTTGATATTTCTGGAGGCAACATTCAACACAAAGGTGTAAAATAGAGCTTGCAGCTAATATCTGCTAGTATATTTTACATCTAAATCTGTGGCTAACTGAAATGGAGGTGTTTCTTTGAGAGCCTAGAAAGCTCTCAATAAATCTTATTTCTGAGTCTTTGAAGCTGAAAATGTATATGCCCTTTAAATTATAGAATATGCTGAATTGAGAGAGACCCACAAGGATCCCCTTGATCAACTAAGTGGGTTACCTTGTCATAAAAGGAAATCAGGTTGGATAAACAGGACTTTCCCGTCATGAAGCTGTGCTGGCTGTGACCAATGACTGTGTTGTCCTTCAAGTGTTTTTCAGTACTTCCCAGAATAATTTTCTCCATAACTTTACCAGGCACTGAAGTGAGACTGACAGGCCTGTAGTTTCCAGGGTCCTTCTTGCCCTTCTGGAAAATCAGGACAACATTCGCCAGCTTCCAGTCAGCTGGAAGCTCTCCAGGTTCCCAAGACTGCTCAAAAATCATCGAGAGAGGTTTTGCATTGGCATCAGCCAGCATTTTGAGGATTCTGGAATGAATCCCATTAGGCCCCATGGATTGCAGGGATCCAGCTGGAGCAGCAGATCTCACCCAATTTCAGGGTTGACTGGGAGTTGATCATTCTCACAGTCATGGTCCTCCAGCCCAGGGCACTGAGACCCCCTTGGTCCGTCATCTGTGTTGAAGACAGAGACCAAGAAAGTGTTCAACACCTCTGCCTTGTCTCTGTCCCTGTTTGTGAGGTGACCATCCTCATCCTGTAGCGAGCCAATGATATTTCTATATTTCTATTGTCATTAATATATATGAAAAAACTCTTTTTATTGTTTCCCACATTTCTGGCCAACTTCAACTCCAGCTGAATTTTCTCCCTACAGCGGCAAGCAGAATCTCTGTATTCTTCCCATGCTTGTAGATACTTCTTGGTTAGCACCGAAAATATCTAATACATTATTCTGCTTGTTTTTATTCTCAGATTTTTTTCAATGACACTTATGTTGTTCATATAGGGAAAATTAATTTCCAGTATTTGTAATGAATTAATTTAGAAAGATTTTTAATGAAACAGAACCACTTTTAAAACTAGACAACAAACAAAATTAGAATACATTAACATCAAGATTATTAACATAGTTGATTCAACTCTATTGTTAGGAAAATTGGGTTTCTTTCCTTGATTAAAAATGCAAATTGAAGTATGACATGTCAGTGAAGCAATAGTGTACTAAAGTCTGAAGAAGAACAAAGTGCCACTCATGACTTTTGATTCTCTGTGAACTATGAAAACCATGTCCTAATGTGCATCTCCAAGTACAAATAGCTCTGGTCCCTGCGGAGTTCTCTAACTGAAGCTGAGTTCAGGCAATATTTCTAGTTGTGTTATGATGTTAGGGCCACCTCATTTTGACCTGCAGTTGAGCAGCAATGAGGTACTGTAATTTTCCTGATACAAGTGCATATTTCAAAATGACACGATAATGGGCAGTGATACACTGGAATGAGGCACTCTGATTCCCAAAGCAGGACTTTGGATTTAGGAGAGGAAGCAGTTTCTCCTGCAGAACTTTCTGCAGTATTTCTGCTTCTGTGGAGCACTGCACAGTAACATTCCTTCCAATAACATTTTCATACTTAGTCAGACCCTTAGGAAGTTTTTCTAATTGCAGGAGGCAAATTTCATTACTCTTAAAAGGGATTAGTCCCCAGAGTACCTAACTCCTTTTGTTCCCCCCCTTCCCTTCACACATTCGCAGATTCACAAGGGTTTAAGATGAGGTGTTTAAGTGCCACTTAGTGGCTGTCCAGAGCAAATGTAAGGTACTGCGAACAGTCTCCACAGCTTTACCTCATGATAGGAGAATTCCTCACCCTATCATGAAGATACTGAAGGGCTAATCTAAAACTGGTTGAAATCAATTAAAAGATCCTGGTGGGCTTTCCATAAGAATTTCAGTACTGTCACTCCTATTTTACTTTTTTTTCCAAATTGTCCTATTGAAGTTCTGTTTGGGTTCTCCTAGTGGTTTTGGGGTTTTTGGGGGGATTTGGATTTTTTTCCAATATTTTTGTAATAAATGCCTGTACAAGTGTTGGAACAAGTTGGTATTTTACTATGCAGTACAAGAAGCACCAGTAAGTAAAGTCTGTAAAAGTGTTTCTGGAGTTTATTCTTAGGTATTAAAATTCACAAAACAAGACGTGCTCAACTGGGATGTTTGCCATCAGCCCATGTTCTGGGATGTTTCAGTTCCCCTGAGTAGAGTATCTGACAGGTTTGAAAACATTAGCTCTCAGTCTCACAACAGTGAGCTTGCTATATGCTTGTATGTGAATAAGGACAAAAGTTTCTCTTTAGAAACTTGTGGGGCTTACGGATATTGTTTACATGTATGTTACTAACTCCATACTGAACTAGATACATCCAGGGGACAACAAAGCTCAGAGTGCATGCATTGCATGTATGCAGGCTTCCTCTTTAGTGGGAGAACATCTTCAGTGGGTATTCTGCAAGGAGTTCGTGTACTGCAGAAGGCACACTTCAAGTTTTTCTTTAAAATGAAATTGTCTTTTTTTATCTTCTATTTCAGTTTTTGTGTTTAACAGACTATCCATGTGCCAGGTAGGATTGGAAAAGTCAGAAAGGTTCCCAGGAATCTCAAACAAACAAAACACAGATTTCTATTACATTTCTTATCAAGTTACAGAACACAGGCTGTCAAGGTCTTGGGATAAATCCCTTCACACAAGTTGAGACTATGCACTTCCAACAAGCCATATAAAAACTACATATATGACAAATTTTCCTTAGCCAGATAACCCTCAGTGACCTGACTTTTACATGCATACACTTGCACAAGCATGTCAGCCTGTTCTGGAAGTCTTGATGCCGGCTTGAGACATAGCTGAATTAGACTCTTAAATGGAGTTGTGAGTGAAATCAAAGCACATGTATGGGGATGACATTGTGAATCTACAATGAGAGAATGTAATATTGATTCTTATTTTTTAAGCTCTTGCTGTTTGGCTGTATATTACAGCTTTTTGCATGTTAGGGAAAAAACTGGGAAAATTAATTATAGCTGGCCTACATTCTACTCATTAATTATAATTGAAACCAATGGTACATTTGAGAATTTAATACGTTCTGGATTAAAAATCCTGTTTAATATCTTTATCAATGGTCTGGATGAGGGGATAGAGTCTACCATTAGCAAATTTGCAGATGACACCAAGTTGGGGGGCAGTGTTGATCTGCTGGAAGGCAGGAGGGCTCTGCAGAGGGAACTGGACAGACTGGAGAGTTGGGCTGATTCCAGCGGGATGAGGTTCAACAAGGCCAAGTGCCAGGTCCTGCACTTTGGCCACAACAACCCCCTGCAGCACTACAGGCTGGGGACAGAGTGGCTGGAGAGCAGCCAGGAGGAAAGGGACCTGGGGGTTGGATTGACAGGAAGCTGAACATGAGCCAGCAGTGTGCCCAGGTGGCCAAGAAGGCCAATGGCATCCTGGCCTGTATCAGGAACAGTGTGGCCAGCAGGGCCAGGGAAGTGATTCTTGCCCTGTACTCAGCACTGGTGAGGCCACACCTGGAGTACTGTGTCCAGTTCTGGGCCCCTCAGTTCAGGAAGGACATTGAGGTGCTGGAGCAGGTCCAGAGAAGAGCAACGAGGCTGGTGAAGGGGCTCGAGCACAAGTCCTGTGAGGAGAGGCTGAGGGAGCTGGGGCTGTTCAACCTGGAAAAAAGGAGGTTCATAGGAGACCTTGTCACTTTCTACAACTGTGAGGTTGTAGCAAGGTGGAGGTTGGTCTCTTCTCTAAGGTAACAAGTGACAGGATGAGAGGAAATGGCCTCAATTGCATCAGGGGAGGTTTAGATTGGATATTGGGAAAAAATTCTTCACTGAAAGGGTTGTCAGGCATTGGAAGAGGCTGCTTAGGGAACTGATGGAATCAGCATTCCTGGAAGCATTCAAAAAATATGTGCACATGACACCTGGGGACATGGTTTAGTGGTGAACATGGCAGTGCTGGGTTAGTGGTTGGACTTGATGATCTTAGGGGTCTTTTTCAATTAGGTGACTCTATGATTCTAAAAGCCCTGCTCAGCTGACTTCTGAGGTTCACTTGTTCTTTGGGTCTTTGTGCTTGTGAACTTATTTAAATATGTGAGCTCAGACTCACAAGTTGCAGTGGTATCTGAACTTACCAGATTGGTTCAGTAAGAGTTCACATGTCCAACCTGTCTGTTCCAACTGTGTGCAGGTTTCTCCTGGAATGCCAGAGTTCCCTCTTGGTACTAAGAATACCCAGGAGGGAGGAAATGGCAGAACTGAACCCATGAT